ATAATGCTTAAGTAAAGAAAAAGGTATAAATTTAAGATGGTTCTTCGCCTTCGCACTGAGTTTAACGAAGTGCTCAAAAACTGGGAAAAATTTTTACATATTTAGTTTGTGTATCGTTTAGGCCATCGGTTCTTCCGCTCGGCATTAGCTGGGACTGCCAGTCGAGTCCCAGTGCCACTTTAGTAAAACATCACCTATGAAATTGCCTTGTGTTCTAAAGTTTCGCTGCCAGCTTAAGGTCACAAAAATCGGTGGAATCACTTTCCCGATTTGTTAGATGGTTATATTTTAACGAACTCATTCAGTTAAGCAAGTTAAAATGTTTTATGCCTCTACAGTTGTGCGATGGTCTGTTTACGAAGAAAACAAAAATCAAACGTTATATATACTTACCGCCAATAGTCAGGTTTGCTCGGTGTAATTGCTGTTGTTTTGGCTGAAGCAAAACAGAGTAAAGAGCGACTACGAGGATATGCACCGTCAAAATGACGACTGTGAGTTTTGCGAAGTTCCTGAGCGTACAACGCATCTTTGGAGTAAGTAAGTACTATTGTAACCTTTCGTTTGATTTTATGAGGAAAGATGCCTTCTCGACTTACGCACAGCTCTATCGGCAGAATTTCACTTGATATTGGTCAAAGCTTTTAAGTCTTTAAAATATCCTTGCGTGTTTTTGGGGTCACTCACTATTCAGAAGAGAAAATGTCGTTTGGGCCTTGCCCAATCAGAACAGCACTAGTATGATGAGACAAAGATACACCTGATATAACCAATCAGTAATCCGCCTTTTGTTCCACGTGACCGCTCTCGACGGGAGGAAACGAGGTTGTTGTTAGGAAACATTGCTGTTTGAAACAATATCGACGCATTTGCGGAACGCAACACGCTTAGATAAACGTTATACCAGCATAGAAATTCTAAGGAACTTAAAAGGTTGAGTAAATCCTCTTTGAAGTTGTATAGAAAATGTGGCCACGAGCCGTTACAAAAGCTGAAGAAGAGGGAGTGTGACGTCTCTGAAACGATAGCGAGATATTTATCATATTTGGCAATGAAATTGCGTGAACAACAAAAATTAAATAAAACAAAGGAGAATGCAAAGTGGACATGGTTTAGTGTTCACGAATACAATGAATGTTCAACATAGCGTGAGGTAGCAAGATCTTCAGCTTTCTGAAACTCTCGTCGTTTTGTGGCTTTTCCTTGCTCATCCTGGCATATTTAAACCAAAATTATATTAGCAGCAAATTAAATTCGTGCCATATTGAAGAAAAAAATCTAACTCTTTTCGGACCATTGGGTATTACAACCAAAGTAGCGGCCTTTTTTTCGAGCATGGTCCACCTCGTTGGATTTGCGTGATAATTCCACAAAAGGTTGAGAATAAATTATTCATGGAGCCCTCAAGCAACCTTTTGCTATGAATATTTGCATTTTGTGGTGATATAGGTCCTAACACTGGACCTGATTCGTCTTTGTTTGATGCACCTCTTACGGAAAGAGACTTCTGAAAGTAAAGAATGGCTATCGGTCATAAAAACCCACGAGGTCTTCGCAAGAATTTCGCCGTAGTGAAACTGTTCTGCACTAACTCTGATGTCCTAACCGTGTCCTTAACGTATTTTGGCATGAAATATATGGCGATGATGTAAAGGTTAATGAAAACTAGTTCCTTAGAAAAGACACGACACGCAAAGCAATGGAAGAACCGCCATTGACTCCAAAACCAAGCTGGATTTCACACGTTTATCCGCAAATGACAATTAAGATGTCAATTGGAGCTATTTGATTGAATTGAAACTCGCTTTCAAAGACTTATCGGCTGTGTTTACGGCTATGTTGACAGCTGTGTTGACTGTCCTAACGTTTCTGTATTTGACACATTTCAACAAATACTAGGTAAAATTTGTAGAACTCGTAAGAATGTTGTGATTGTCAGAGACTCCGATTCCTAACTGCTTATCCTTTGTGGGAACGGAACGAAACTGAAATGCATCCTACAATTCCTCAACATCCGCCGTTGACAATCGATAAAGCTTCCAGTCCTGATGGGATCTCTTCAAGCAGCCAAGATATTGCAGGTTCAAGGGGGTAAGTTTCCAAAGAAACTGTGATGCTTCGTCGTTGGGAGAATTGTCTTTTGATGGCTTTTGGATAAAGGAATAAAGAAAAATTTATTGAAATTTAACCTTGGGTAGAGCTAATCAGCCTTGCAACATTTGAGCCCTGGATATTCCTTTCTAAACCTAGTTGCTCTGCTCTTGTTTGTTGCACTTCTTCCAGGGCTCTTCCTTTTGATTTGGACTAATTTTGTTGGTTTTGTTGTGACATCTGTTTTGGTGGTCTTTGTTTTGTAATGCTGTGTTCAACTAATTAGCAGGACTTCATGAATCTGAATCGATTAGCATGCACATAAGATTTTCTAACTTAAACTAGTTCAGCAGTTTTCTAGAAGAGTAAGGTATTGACTCATTGTGCCCATCAAGGTTTCCACTCCACAGAAACTTTTTAATTTCACAATTAATCCACTCCAGTTATACAACAAATTTTTCTTGATCTATTTTTCATTTGTGTGACCTTTACTACTTGCACAACCCTTGTCTACTCTTTACACAGTTACACAGTTTAGAACATAGTGTAAGAATTTTTTGGTGCTTGGTCAGTGTCAAGTCTGGTTGATGCCTCAATGATTTCTAATGCAGATGACTTTTAAGAACTTTCTGTAAAAATCTCCTGCTAGCCTCTCACCCATTTTCTGATATTTCTCTTTATAGCCCAAATGTTAAAAAGTTTTTTATGCATTTTGCTTTAGTTGGAGAACTGGTTGTGTGCCTTCATCAAGTATGTCCATCCAAAGCCATGCCAAGTCTCTCTTTCCACTACAGTCAGCAGCTTTGAAAGAGCACCTCTCTGTATGGTTTGGACAGTGTAAAAACTTGACAAAGAATATCAACAATTCCTGAGTGGTATGCATATAGTTGTTTGTTCCTGCTCCTTCGAAAGCGTATTTGCTGCTGCACCATGATGCTCTTTGTAATGGAATCAGGCCTAATGGTTAATAATCTTTGATGCCACCATATACTCAATATAATTAAAAAAAGTGTAAAGAGTGTAAGGTCAGTAGTTCCAACAACAAGATAATTTAGTGCTATCAACTGAGTTGAAAGCGTAAAGTGGCCACCGTAAAGAGTTTCAAGGCTGACGTTTCTAGCGTTAGCCCTTACATAGCGATAGATGCCGGAAGGGCTAACGCTTTCAATTTACGTTTTCAACTCAGTTGATAACACTAAATTACCCTATTGCAGGATTATCCTAAGTGAGCATTTTAAGTGTTTTACATAACAGTTTTGCTCGGTGAAGCTTTCCCAATCCTTATAAGATTACCAAAGGTAATTTTTGTGTATCAAATTCAGGCACATTTCACTTTTAAGTATACTTAGTAAGCCCCTTGAAATTCAGATGTGCACCATAATTGACAGCCATCTGAACAGTGATACAATGAGCTGTAAACAATAGCGATTTGCTGAGGGACTATCAACTGAAGGAACGCTGATTTCAGTGATTAAATGGAGGAAGATAACAGTTCATAATAGTGTTACAGCTAGAACAGTCTTTATAGATTTTCAAACAAACTTTCTACACTGTCCTTCACCGCTTAATATCATAAAAATTACATCCCGGTACATCAGGATATCTCTATGACTGGCCCATGAACTATTATTGAAGTAGACACCAGTTTACTAAGGTCAATAATTGCAAGTCTACCACAGACTATGTGCACTATGGTGTCTCTTAAAGCTCGCTTGTTGGGTCCAGATTTTACCGACCATCTGTCAATGTGCTCTAAACCACAACAATCTGGATATTTATTTATGTCGGCAAACAACACTACGGTTTACTGCTCTGGTCCAAGTGTGGTTAATATCGAACAAAACAGTAAAGCAAATCCTATCCTTGGGCACCAAAAATCATCTAACCACCTATTAAAAACTGAGGCAGTGATACTGAGAAACCCACTTTTATTTGACCTGTGCCCCTGCCTTGTTTTAACTTAGGCCCCATTACCCTGATCGACTCTAGATATACCTCTTTCCAAGGAGTTGAGATTGATTTTAGGCTTTCATGGTCACTGTCAGTATATATTGACTCCCAAAGAAGCACTTTTGTCAAAAGGTTGGAGGTTCATAGAAAATTAGAGCTTCTCCCATGAATATACTTGAGGAAATATACTTCCTTACTGTTATTTTAAGCGTTACATACAATAATAAAGAGTAGTTTTGAAAAATGGTTTTTCATCTGCGTTGAAACTCTCAACTCCATCTAGCCAAGGCCATCTTGTATTGTGTACAACTTTCAGCCATCGTTAGCAGGTCTGTGATACATACCTTGCTAACTCCAGCTGGCAACTCATTTCCTATATTTATAAAAGATCCATCTTAATGTTAATTGTTTTTAAAAAAAGACATTTGAGAATTTTTTTTATTCTGCTTATAACCTACACCATATTTCATAATATGTATTTCTGCTTACAATGCTGTATCCTGATGTTGATGCTCAAAGAGTGTTTTGAAACTTCGAGTAAAAAGGTTTATCAGCGGTTCTCAAAAAGAAAATCGTCCACGTCATCTTGCATTCCACATCATTGAGTTTAAATCATTCAGTGGTTGGAACCGTCTACAGTAACTGGGTCCTGCGATCAGGAAGTTCGAGTTAATGATGAGATTGCTGACAGAACCTACAAGTTCTTATTTTCTGAGCAGACTCTTAAAAAACCAACCTTAAGACATTGCCAAGTTCTCCTTCAAAAAAGTAACACCCTTGCTCGCTACGAAAACAAATGATTTTATACATGTTTCACAGTTGTACTCCATAGATTTTAATAATTTAGGAGGTGAGCATAACTCCAAAACTTTGCCGCTGTCACAGCTCTATGCCATTTTAAACAGCAATCCTTTTTCGTGCTGTGGTTTGCCTTCCCTTTTCCTTCTTGCTGAAGAAATTCAGGGATTCACTATTTCTTGAAAACTGGGCTTTTTGAATCCAAAAATTTCATAGTCTTTTGCGTAGATATTCTGCAGTCGTGTGAATTCTTCTTGTGATATTCCTGAATAGAAAGTCTTCATCTTCGTTTGTGATCCTTGTCCTTCGGGTGCAGCTTCGACATTTGGGAATGTAACCTCTTCATCAGCTCCCATCAACATAAGAGCGAGATCAGCATCTGCTTTGATATTATCATAGATGCCAACGAAGTCATAATTTATATCACACGGAGCGCATAAATTATGCTGACGATCCCAGTGTTCATCATGAGAACTAAAAGGTGTAGTAATCGCGTAATTTGCGAATTCCTTAAATGTAGGATAATGTGGTGTTAACCCCGTAGAGTTCTTCCGGATCCTTCTGATGATGTCTAGGCCGATGCTGTAATAATATCCCTTCCTAGGGGGATCAACAGGTGCAAATTTACTCCGGTAGGCCGACAGAAATCGCTCCATAGGTTCGCGAACAAATGCAATCTTTTTGTATGTTTTTAACATGTGATTTACTACTGTAGCGTTTGAATAATGTCTCAAAAAGCGTAACTTTCCTGAATCATGCGAAGTTTCGTGGGAGATATCTTCCGACGAGTTGAAATGTTCTTCTAAAACGTGAAAAATTCGTTTCCAGTTGCTACATGCTACTTTAGGAACGAAACAGAAGAGTGTTTTGTAACGCTCGGACACGATAAGGTGATGTTTGACGACATATTGAATAGGTTTTCTTCTACCTTGCTTGGTACAAGCAGAAGAATTCCAAGGCCGATATCTTTCCTCTAGAAGTCTGATCTGAAAAAAGGGAAATTAAAAATGATTTAAGGTGATAAACATTCTTAACAAGGCTGGAACATTTAAGGTGCTAAATCGCCGAAACAGGGCTTCGTCACGAATCGATTCGTGTTTACTGCTTACAAAACAAGTCTTTGTGTCCTATTTTGTTGCCACGATCATTGCATTTGTGCGACCTGTTTCAGGGACAAAATTATGTGTCAGGGATAACTGTATGATTCCTAAGGACACAAAAAATACGTATAAACATGGTCACGTTTTTGACTCCAAATGAAAACCATAGAGAGAGAAGGAAGGAACCAAAATTATTCTTTCGAACTGTTTGTCAAGGTGAATACAAACAATTCTCAAATTCGGCTCCCACACTGCGTGAGTAACGCGTAATATACAGTTGCTTATTCATTATTACTTACACGTAATGTAAATCCAAACATTCTGGCCATTTTGGGTGGGGGGCATATTCACCTGACACTATTGTAGGTTTTGGTTAAAATGGTAATAAGCTTTAAAAATGGTTTTTACAATTTAACATTAAAATACCACTAACTAAAACAAAAAGAGAATATATATTTTTCCATTTGCCACTCCCCGTAGCTGGAGAGTTCGTTGAAAATAGATCTTCTTTGAAAAAAGAAGACATACACAGAAAAACGTACTAAAGAAAAACCTTGAAAATTCAGTTAAGGGCGTGTAATAATAGAACCCTCATTTCCCATAAGGATGTTAAACCTCATTAACGAAATTGTGGTTGATTGGATGCTTTATCAACCAGCAAAAGAAAAGTCAGTCGTTGGTCATCTGAGCAAGGTGACCGTAGATGTGTGTGACTTGCGTTCTGTGTACTACTGGGATAGACTCTCTGTTTGGAACAAATTTTTAATTATGTTTTCGACAAAACTGCTCTTCAAGACATGAGCCCAGTGTGAAAAAGGTAAGTCGTGCGGAAAATGGCCTTTCTCTTCTCTCGGGGAATGACCTTTGTCTCTAATCCTAAGCCATTAATCTGTTAGTGATACGTTTCGTTCACTTTTTCCTTTGTCTATTTTTATCTTGGGTATGTGTTCTAATGATTGCAGGATTTCAGTGAGGTTAAGTACAGTTTTATTTCAGTGAGGAGAAGCGTTTTTTTCCAGAAAAGTCTTTTTTCTCAGCAAAGGGCTTTTGAGTTGTTGTACTACAGTAAAACAGGTTTATAGAGGCACTTTGGATTGAAAATAAGCGCAAATTAAACCCAATAGTTGAAAATTTGCCGCATTCAATTTGTGTGAAAATACTGAGAGATATAAATCCGAAAGTTAGCACTCTTTTAGGATTATATTGTTTTGAGTACAATTGATAACTTCAAATTCACTATTTATTTTTTCAAAGTAATGATATTCTACGGGAGAACATAATGAATTCCAAACCCAAATTGCAACTTACAGAAGTAAGGTGTCAAAATGGAAATGCATTTTACAGACCTGCAGGTCTGCTGCGGGTGTGAAAATGACATGTTTTGGTCGAGAATGGGATCAGACACACCCTCCTGGTAAGAATTCTGACGAGTAGAAAATTACAGTCACTCGCTGACTTTTCAACTGATTACTTACCAGTGCCTCTCTCTTCATCTGTTTAATATTCTGGGAATCTGTTAAAAATTCAATTAAAATTTATTAGAAATCTGGTTGTTGATAAAGGGAGTTTACAAGATACAACCGTTCTACTATATCAAAAAAATATAGATGTTTGAAATTATAACGAATTATTAAGCGGTAGTGTTCAACGTTAAGGGGTTGAATTGACGTACGTCAGAGCAAAGTCGTACTTCAACCGTATCTTCCTCTTGCATGTCTGTTCTAGATTTCAAATTTAATAAAGAAAGCGTTATTTTGTTGATGATGGAGTTTCGCTTATGCAGTTAAAAGGAAATTAAAGTTGTAAATTTTTGTCTCAGAAGTTTCAAACGTGCAGCTCAGGAAATACAAGGTAATGGAATTTCATTTCAAACAAAAACATCATCAACAACCATAACTCTACGCTTAATATTGTGACCAAAAAAAAAAAAACGCCAACAAGGACGTTTCACTTTCTAAGATATATATTTAGCGACTGATTCGCCACATGAATATTAAAAGGGACAATAACAAGATAACCTAGTAACCCTAACTCAGACAGAAGCACAAATTCGTAATTGTTCAAAATATATTTTTACGACGTGCGCAGCGAAACACACTTCAGTCGAAAAAGTGTTTTAAGAAATGGTTGACATTTTCATCTACTCGTACCCGCAAGCCTTTAAAATTTGGGATCTTGAGCGAGCAGTTTTTGCAGAGCGATTGCAGTTCCAAGAACACGAAAAGTATGGTCGAGCAACAAGATTGCCAAGCGTTTGAAATATGAATAAATTTCTCTACGCTTTCGCTTATTGGAGATAGCTTTTTTTTTACAAGTGTTCCTGAAATGGCTCTAAAGCCCGTCTGTGAAAGTCGAGTGTTTCAGGTTTAATGCATAATGTCACAACAATACAATTGCAATCAGTCAAATTAGCGGGGAGTTAAAAGCGAAACCAATATCTTGGTAGCGTTGAATAACGAGAAAGTTGTTTATTATGGATAGTTGTCACCTTAGGCACTGAGTTTGACTCAGTCTGAAAAACTGGCGAAAATATTAATTCATTTTTTGGTTTCGTTGGGAGGCATTGTCGGTTCGTGAGGTCGGCAGTGGACAAGACCACTGGGTATGGTGCGTGCCACTTCAGAAAAACATCGCTTAACCTTGTGTCGTCTTTTACAATTTCGCATACAGATTCAAGTCATATAAATGGATTCATTCTCCCAACATTTGTTATGTGGTAATTTTAGTAGTATCAACCGAGTTGACGTTTCGAGCGTTTGCCTTTCGTCAGAGCGATGGCGAAGGGGCTAACGCTCGAAACGTCAAGTTACGAGTTGAACACAAACATATGTCATGATTACTTACCGTTAGTGCTTCGATTAGTTTCATAAATTACTGAATAAAATGCCCCTGCAAGGGCATGCACCGTCAGAATGACGAATGTCAATTTTGCGACGTTCCAAAACGAACAACGCATTTTGGAATTACGTACGTACTTCTGCAATCTTTTTTTGATTCAATAAGAAAGATTCCTTCGCAATCTACGTACAACTCTATCGGCGGAATCACACTTGGTATTGATTAAGGGTCATGCCTTCGATATATCTATAAGTGCTCTCTATCTCACTCACGTTTCAGTGGAGGAAATGGCTTATGTGGGCCCTACCCAATCAGAGAGCAGTATGTCGGAAGCCTTTAAGGTAGCTCAATCATGATATAACCAATCAGGAAGCCGCTCTTGTTCGCTCATGTGATCGCCGGGAGGAAACATGGCGGTTGTTAGGGCACATTGCAGTTTCGAGGGGAATACGAGACAAAAACGCATCAAGAGAAATTTCACCAGGAAATAAAATTCTGAATGTTCTAAACACTGAGTAAATTTTCAATATCGTCAAATTTACAGAATGGCCGGGCACCTTTCAAGACCTTGTGAGGAGTACGTGGAAAGTCTGTTGAAAGATAGCGAAATATTTGGCACTGAAACCGCCCAAACAATACAAATATATTAAGTCACTGAAGAATACTTAGTGTATTTGACCATTTCCATGTAAGTACATGGTATAGTGCTCACAAACACATTCATTTTTCAACTACTTATGCAACATCGCGGTCTCTTCAACAATTGCACAAGTGCTACGGTCGCTTTCGAGAGCGCGAATGGTGAACACATCGCGAAGAAAGCCGCACAAATTAAGGAGCCACATGAAAATTTTTTTTAAAATCTTAACTCGACCTACACCTTGCCACCTTGTCTTGTAAAATGTTTGGCGAATGGCATGGGATTACATAGGATAATATTGAAGTTGGGTCACTTAAAGTATTATGAAAATTAACGAATTATGAAAAATTAATGTATATGATTGTGCGTACATTTTGTGGCATGGTATGTTTGTGTACAATCAGTGACAATTATCTAAAGCGCTTCTTTCGTGGCTTTTCATACTCATGCGTTTTTCCTTCAGTTAATAGAGAATCTTAAACGTGGGACGTTTCGGCTAATGCCGGTGTCACAGCGGATTTGGACCCCCGCGGATATGGACCCCCCTTCGCAGATTTGGACCCCCCCCCACCAAACTTTCCTTTTAAGCATCCTTTATATCATATTTGGTAACTAATTCTATTTGCAAGCTTTTTTGTCGATGTTCTTTTCAATCACAACAGAACATTTCCACAATGAAGGTAGAAAAAAAACAGCCATTTCGTTTCAATTCTACCGCATTCATTATAGTGAGTCGTACAGTATACGCAGGAATTAGATGTGAACAAACTACTGCATTCGAACTATTGAAATTGTTACAATAAATCTTTGCTTCTTCTGATGCGAAGCAACATTGATACGAAACGTCATAACAATGACAACTCTCAGCTTATTTTCAGATGCATATCAACAGTACTGCCAACGTCTTAACAAAAGTGGAGACTATTACATCGAACTCAATCTTATTTTCTAATTTTAACGATTATTAACTGTTGAGGGATCCGAAATAGCACCTTAACAATTACGAAGACGTCTAGAAGCTAGCAATCTGCAGACAATGCAGAGCCACTAGCCCTCCGGGACAGCCTTAAATCCCTCGCAGCTCATGTGTAACCTTTCCCCGCACAACTCGCACTGTGCCATGTCGTCCCAACACTCGGGCATTGAATAATGACAAAATAAATAAGTGTCACAAGTTTGTCTCTTATTAAATCTAGCGGTGTTCGAATATCGCGGAAAAGGTTCAAAAACGACCTCTCTCCAGACATTAAACTAAATTCTTGCCCATTTTCCCTTGGTCAAAAGAAACATCCGACGGGATGCCAGTTCGTATGCATTAACGATACGCATGTTTTGAATTAAAAACATACTTTAGTATGCACTGGAACGTAAATTATCATCCATTTTTACTAGAACGTTGAGGATGATGTTTTCACTCAGTTTTGATGGGGGGTCCAAACCGCGGAGGGGGTCCATATCCGCTAGCGGATTTGGACCGAGGGGTCCATATCCGCTAGCGGATTTGGACCGGGATGTCCAAATCCGCTGGGACACCGGCCCACGAAACCGGCTTTTTATACTCATTTGTTGTTCATTTTACAAAGAATCTTTCAGCAGTGGAAAGTTTCAGCTGATGTTGACCCACAAGACTGGAAAATCGAGAGATATCACGAAAGTTGCCGGAATTAAGAAGAGAATTACGATGGGCGATCTGGTCATGAAAAAAGTTACGAAAGTAATGGTCCAACTCGGGGATCGCTTACGATTTCAGGGTCACTTGCAGTCCCGCGATTATTTGCGAAGTGTACACTTCATTATGGTCACATTTATCCACAATCAACGACCAGAACTGATTTACCTTAAGAAGGCTACTGTTGGAGGAAGTTTGGTTCTTGTGCCAGTCAGTCATTTCCTAACTCACGATCATTTACGGAAGCCATTCGCCAGCAGCGCGCTTGATTCTTTAAATCAAGCGCAGTTGTGTACCTACGTGTTATCATCCAACTGCACTTCGTAGAGTACGAATAACGCGCGAATAGAGTACGAATATCCTGCGATATTGTACGGTTATCTTGACCGTTGGTTATTTTGTACTGAAAAAAATACCTGTTTAACTAGTCGGCTGCGCGCGCTACGCTGCTCTATCTGCTTTGCTTTTCCCGCGTTATGAGAAATGAACAGAAAGACTTGGCTGAACAAAAAAGCACTAGGGTAATAAATATCTTAGTAGACGTTTTAGCGTGTAGTATCGCTGAGTATTTTCACGAGTTGTGCCGTATTTTGACCAGCCCTATGTATTTAAGCAAAGATGATGAAAGAAATAGCTTATGGCTGACAAACGGCGTGAGTGCAGTCATGCATATAGATACTGTTTGAACATTTGTGGCATTTTCACAGGAAGCTTCTCAGGTCTCTCTCAAAGAATAAGTTCTGCCTCCTTGGATGTAAACATTATGTTTCTTCCGTTTTGATATGTCTATTCACTTCATTTGTCACAAGCTTTTTTTTATTCAAAGAAATACAGAATAATACACGGGCGCCCATAGATTTGGAATTTCTCTACTCGTATTTCACTCGGTATCTCACGGGTGAACACTGCAAACGAGTGAGATGTCGAGTTGAATACGAGAAGAGAAATTTCATAACTACAAGCTACCAAGTATTATTTTGTTTACTATGCAAACACAATGGGCCTTTACTGACAAGAAAAGTCGACTTAATTAAGACCTGAAAAGAACAAGGATTCACAATCCGTGAAAAAAAGTTGTAAAGTGCGAAGGCGACAAGGCTCAAGATGAAAAAATGCGTTAAATTATTACAAAAACAAAAAATGGGCGTATCTTTTAATTCACAAAATTCTTAGTCATCAACTTTTCCCATATCTCAGAGGAAATCTGCTCAAATACACGGCCAAAATCGACCGGTGTCAAATCTTCCGGCTGCTGATTTCAGCCCAGCCGCGAGAAAAGCCAAGTAACTTTTGGTTGTTCTTATCGTATTTTTAGTATTTTCCGCTTCTAGGAAACTTTGAACGTCAGTGTCTGTAGGCGATACAAAATTTTCAGTATTGTTCAGTCATAACTCGAGAAAAATTTCGACAAAAATTCTTAGATTGAGGATGTTGAACACTTTACCATTTGTTCATCAACCTAACGGTGTGGCGTGAACACACGTAAAACTGAAACTATCGTAATTTTACACGTTTGCTAGTGTGGCTTTTATTAGGGCTGGAAATTCGTGAAAAACTCCGCAGTTTCCCGCCCTTAGCTTTCGTCCATCGCGCTTTGTAATATAGGTCGCACAAGAAAATACTGTCACACTTTTTAATACCTGGCGCACTTTGAAATAACACTTGTCCTACTTTGTAGTAAAAAAGTTGTCGCACTTTGTAATAACAGACCATCACACTTGGTAAGCCAATTTATGAAGCAAATGAGTAGCAAAATTGCATAAATTCCCTGACGGTTGTTGTGTTACGTTGTTTCAGTTTTATGAATGACTTTGATGGAGAACGTTAGACTGCAATTGTCAATAAAATACCGCAATGCTATGGGTGTTTTCCGGTGTCAAGCGGCACTATTAAGGTAAAAGCAACTCTTTTAAAAACTACTTCCTTACCGATATCTTCCTGGTTCGATTTTCTGACTTTTAGCATTTTCGGCATCAACATCACTGCATAGAATGCACCAGCAATTACCAAACCCATAAAGAGGATTCTCTTGAGTTTTACGATAGCCCTAACTGGTAAACTCATCGCGTGATTTGATATTCTTGCAACCTCTCTTTGTTTCGATGGTAGGGGTCTTCACAGTTGATATTAACGCACACTTAACACATTGATACCTGAACCGCGAAAAAATTGAATATGCAAATTTGTTAGGTATGAAGAGATCTCATGTTCAATATGGCAAATTCCTTGTAACATGATATCTCTTCACACACTGAAAATTTGCATATCCTCTTTGAAATTCGATCTGCATATTTGTTTGTACACGTGCGAAAAATTTAACGATTTTTTAGTTATTTTTTTCAATAAAAAAAGTAATTCAATGTTTTGTTATTTTTTAGCGTATGGAGTGGTATGTTGTTAGCACCAATCAGATTTCCGCGTTAGGGTATGTATCTTGCACCAATATATCACAGCATTTGGATAACTTGCACCAATCACAGCGTTTGGGTATTGTTTTATCACGTGTCATTTCCTTCTAGAGAACCTGCATTTTATCACGTATTCTAACCACATTGTCCAACCCCACTGGAAAAAACTCACATGGAACCAAATGCTACTGATACTGAGTTTTCCACGCAGTTCTCCTGAGTTTTGACTTTTTCTACGAATAAAATTGGCTGGAGGTAGTCCTCTTTTTCAGTTCCGAACGGAATAGCGGAAATTTCCTTACCATTTCCTGAATTTTCCAGTTTCCAGTCTCTCATTAGCCGAAAACATCTCGTTCGGCTGGTTTGCTGATTTTAGAAAAACTATTACCATTATTCACCAGTCATCCCAACCGGATTATTCTGACAAATGGTAAGCACCCCTAATTTCCTCAAAACTAGAAGTCAAAACATGCTTCTCCCGTAACATTTTCTCGTCTGCACCTTGGGAATCTACGGAATCTTTACTCGACATTTATCATTATAACATAACCAAATGTATTTGATTCACTGTAAAGCTAATCCATACCGCATCAACGGTTTTTTGACTGAAATCCCACACAAGCACGCATTGCGGACCAATAGACCACAAAATATGTGTGAGGTCAGATAAATTAGGTTTTTTTTTCTGTCCTTCTGTGATATTTTCGTTCTTCTGAAAGTTATGCTCTTTAGAGTAAAAAGTTAGTGTGCATCTATGGCTTTTTTCATTTAAATGGTCTTCGTTCACCGGAGCTTGTGTTTAGGAAAAGATAATTTATAAAAATTAACTGCGCATTGTGTTTGCTTTTCCCGTTTCTCCAAAATTTTAACTTTTGGATAGGCACACGTTACATACAGGTGCCAAAGGGTTAAGTGGGGGGAGTGAAGATTCGTAAACGGTATTCGTGAGTTCGTGTGTTTGGTGTTAATCAACAACACGCACAGGTGATCAGAACGGCTTCACCAGACCCAAACCATTTGGAGGGGATTTGGTCATATAAATGTCGAATGAACCAATCAGAAGGCGGGAACGCTATACGTCCAAGGTAAAGGGAGAGATATTTTCCACGATCACATGAGGAACCGTTAGCCCTGTAGTTAGTACCCGCATCGGCCCTTGGCTCTTTTTGGTCATGATTAATGACCTCGCTATCTCGAGCAACCCCCTTTCTGGTATGTGGAAATTTGCCAACGATACCACGGTCTCAGAAATTGTTCCCAAGTCCAGTGCAACAAAGATACTAGACACAGTGGATCTTGTCCTTCAAGCTGAAGGACATGATCAAAAAATTGATCATTAATTCAAACTGACATGATCAAAAAATGATCATAAATTCAAACTGAACTCGTTGAAGTGCAAGGAACTCCGCATAGACTTTCGAAGGGACCAAACGAGGTCACAGTAATTGAGGCCAATGGCAATTCCTTTGAAACCATTAAATCAGCAAAAGTACTATGCGTTGCAATAAAGGGTGACCTAAAGTTGCATTACCATGTAGAAAATATTACTGTGAAAGCATCTCAGCGAATCTATTTGCCAAGCAACTTAAGCGCGCTGGCATTGACTGCATATCTACAATTCACTTCTACTGCGCATGTATTCGTTTTGTCTTAGAGAATGCCCCTCAAGCTTTCCATTCTAGCTAACCAGTCTACTTGTCTGATTGAATCGAGAGGGTTCAGAGGCGAGTTTTAGGGATCATTCCATTCATATCCAGAGGCATCGTATAGAAAACCGCCAGAAGATGCAAATCTGAAAACAACTATTTGATAGGCGAGAAGAGTTATGCGTAAGTCTACTCAATCAGATCAAAGAGAGTAATGGCCAGCATAAACTAGCTGACCTGCTACCTGCGCGCAATGACGCCTCTCAGTACAACCTAAGGAATAAGGGAATGTTTGCTATGCCCGGTATCAAAATCAAAAGGTTTGAAATTCCTTCATAATGCATTATACAGCAAAAGAGTAAATGTAAATCTAAGTAGGGTTATTGTTATTAATTTTTTTAATTGTTTATGTTTAGAATTTATTATTATACGATTTATATCTTTCGTAATATATGCTTTTCAAATTATTTTAAATTATGTACATTGCGCTAGTAATTCAATTACTAGCTGCTAGTTGTGATTTTAATAAAAATAATAATCATTTCTTTCTTGATTCCATTCGACTACTTCAAAATGAATTCAAATGTCGCCAAAAAAAAAAAACACCAGCCGCCTTATGGTGATTTCTAAGAAAAAAAAAAGTTAACCAACAATTTTGTTAAACTCTCCTTAAATGTTTCCTACCAACGTTTGTTTCGTAAAATACAGTTTAAAAAATAGGCCACCGAGCATATTTAAAAGATATGGTGGGCCGAGCTTACCGCACTAAAGCCCGTACTGGCGCTAATCAGGCGAATCCTTTCATCTGTTCGCGGTACAATTTGAGGTGGCTGGAAACAAGCTTTTTAAAGCCACACTTGAAAAAAACTTGATAGGTAGAAATTCTCGAGCGTATGGAACAATTTGATATATAATTTGTGGAACAATCACGCGGTTTTTAGCGACATCGACTCAAAACATTCCTCGAGTCGTTGCTTTCAGGGTCATAATTTGCATCCTCAAGTAACGGGCTCCCTGCACGCTTTTAGCTATATATTTTTCCCCTTCGATGGATTTTTTTTTTATTTCTCAAATTTGAAGGGTATAATTTGCACACAAAACTTATGAAAAAGACCAAAGAAAAACGAAACCACTATGTTAAAGACCATATCACAAGGAGGGTCACTGGTTCTTTAGTATATTTACTGCTTTGTGTAACCCTCGTTAGATAAAGTAATTATTATTATTATTGTTATTATTATTATTATTATTATTATTATTATTATTATTATAAGGAGCCGCGGGAAAACGTCATTGACGAAGACTCTTTGGTTTCAGTTTTGCATCTGATTGGTTGAGAGAGTGGCGAGTTTTTTTAAACCAACGGAGAATCAAATTGGAGACAACTACTCTCATTTTCTGAAATTGCAATTAGAAATGAGATGTTAAAATTAGTTACTTCTATCTGCGACGTGATTTTTTGTCTCAAAGGTGAGTGAGCTTACCGGTTTCATCAAATTCCTATCAAGTTTGTGTTGGTTGAAATTTTAGTGTCTAGCAATGTTAACAAACATTGTTTAAAATGGCGTACAGCTGTGATAGCTGTACGCCATTTTAAACAGCAATCCTTTTTCATGCTGTGGTTTGCCTCCCCTTTTCCTTCTTGCTGAAGAAATTCAGGGATTCACTATTTCTTGATAACTGGGCTTTTTGAATCCAAAAATGTCATAGTCTTTTGCGTAGATATTCTGCAGTCGTGTAAATTCTTCTTGTGATATTCCTGAATAGAAAGTCTTCATCTTCGTTTGTGATCCTTGTCCTTCGGGTGCAGCTTCGATATTTGGGAATGTAACCTCTTCATCAGCTCCCATCAACATAAGAGCGAGGTCAGCATCTGCTTTGATATTATCATAAAAGCCAACGAAGTCATAATTTATATCACACGGAGCGCATAAATTATGCTGACGATCCCAGTGCTCATCATGAGAGCTAACAGGCGTAGTAATCGCGAAATTTGCGAATTCCTTAAATGTGGGATAATGTGGAGTTAACCCTGTAGAGTTCTTCCGCATCCTCTTGATGATGTTAAGGCCGGTGTTGTAGTAAAATCCCCTTCTAGGGGGATCAACTGGTGCAAATTTACTCCGGTAGGCCGACAGAAATCGCTCCATAGGTTCGCGAACAAATGCAATCTTCTTGTATGTTTTTAACATGTGATTTACTACTGTAGCGTTTGAATAATGTCTCAAAAAGCGTAACTTTCCTGAATTATGCGAAGTTTCGTGGGAGATATCTTCCGACGAGTTGAAATGTCCATCTAAAACGTGAAAAATTCGTTTCCAGTTGCTACATGCTACTTTAGGAACGAAACAGAAGAGTGTTTTGTAACGCTCAGACACGATAAGGTGATGTTTGACGACATATTGAATTGGTTTTCTTCTACCTTGCTTGGTACAAGCAGAAGAATTCCAAGGCCGATATCTTTCCTCTAAAAGTCTGGTCTGAAAAAAAGGTAAATTAAAAATGATTTAAGGTGATAAACATTCTCAACAAGGCTGGAACAATTAAGGCAATAAATGGCTGAAACAGGGCTTCGTCACGAATCGATTCGTGAGTACTGCTTTCAAAACAAGTCTTTGTGTCCCAATTTGTCACTGCAATCATCGCATTTGTGCGACTTGCTTCGGGGACAAAATTATGTGTCAGGGATAACTGTATGATACCTAAAGACACCAAGAGAACGTATAAACATGGTCATATTTTTGATTCCATAGAGAGAGACTGGGAAGGAAGGAACCAAAATTATTCTTTCGAACTATTTTTTAAGGTGAATACGAACAATTCTCAAATTCGGCACCCACGCTGCGGGAGTCGCGCGTGATATACAGCTACTGCACCATTATTACTTACATGTAATGTAAATCCAAACTTTCTGGCCAATTTTTTTGGTATATTCAACTGACACTATGGTAAGTTTTGGTTAAAATGTTACTAAGCTTTAGAAATAATTTTTACAGTTTAACATTTAAATACCACTAACTAAAACAAAGAGAGAATATATCGTTCCATTTGCCACTCCATGTAGCTAGAGAATTGGTTGTAAGTGTGGCAAGAAATGGTTGACATTTTCATCTGCTCGTACCCGCAAGTCTCTAAAATTTGGGATCTTGAGCGGGCAGTTTTTGCAGAACGATTGCAGTTTCAAATAAAAAAACCCTAGTTTCCCCTAAGGATTTTAAACCTCCTTCTTTAACGAAATTGCGGTTGGAGGCTTTCCCAACCAGCAAAAGGAAAGTCAGTCGTTGGCCATCTGAGCAAGGTAACCGTAGATTTATGTGTGACTTGCGTTCTGTGTACTACTGGGATAGACTCTCTGTTTGGAACAAATTTTTAATTATGTTTTCGACAAAACTGCTCTTCAAGACATGAGCCCAGTGTGAAAAAGGTAAGTCGTGCGGAAAATGGCCTTTCTCTTCTCTCGGGGAATGACCCTTGTCTCTAATCCTAAGCCATTAATCTGTTAAGGATAAGTTTCGTTCACTTTTTCCTTTGTCTATTTTTGTCTTGGACATGTGTTTTAATGATTGCGGGATTTCAGCGAGGTTAAGTATAGTTTTATTTCAGTTAGGAAAAACATTTTATTCCAGAACAGTCTTTTCTCTCGGCAAAGGGTTTTTGAATTGTTGTACTTCAGTAAAACAGGTTTATAGAGTTACTTTGGATTGAAAATGAGCGCAAATGAAACCGAAAAGTTGAAAATTGGTCGCATTCGATTTGTGTGAAAATACTGAGAGACATAAATCCGAAAGATTATATTGTTTTAAGTACAATTGATAACTTTAAAAATCACTATTTATTTTTTCAAAGCAATGATATTCTGCGGGAGAGCGTAATGAATTCCAAAACCAAAGGTTTGAAAATAGATATGGATTTTATAGACCAGCAGGTCTGCTTCGGGTGTAAAAATGACATGTTTTGATCGAGAATGGGACCAGATTCATCCTCATAGCAAGAATTCTGACGAGTAGAAAATTTACCCCCACTCGCTGAATTTCAATTAACTACTTACCAGTGCCTCTCTTTTCATCTGTTTGATATTCTGGGAATCTGTTAAAATTCAATTGAAATTTATTAGAAATCTAGGTGTTGATAAAGGGAGTTTGCAAAATGCAACCGTTCTACTATCACCTCAAAAAAAAAAATGATCGAAATTATAGCTTAAACAGTCGCGTTAACGTTAAGCTAGGGGTTGTTTTGACGTACGTCAGAGCAAAGTCGTACTTCAACCGTATCTTCCTCTTGCATGTCTACTCTAGATTTCAAATTTAATTTAAGAAGCGTTATTTTGTTGATGATGGAGTTTTGCTTATGCAGTTAAAAGGAAATTACAGTTTTAATTTGCTGTCTCGGTAGTTTCAAACGCGCAGCTCAAAAAATACAAAGTGATGGAATTTCAGTTCAGACAAAAACAACATCAACAACGACAACTCAACGTTTGCTTTAATATTGTGACAACAAAAAACGCTAACGAAGACGTTTAACTTTCTAACATATACATGAAGTGACTGACTCACCATCTAAATATTAAAAGGGACAATAACACTGTTTTAACGAGATCAACTAATAACCCTAACCAAGACAGAAGCATAAATTCGTAATTGGTCAAAATATATATTTACGATGTGGGCCGAGAATGCAACCAATATTCAGTCATGCAGCAGTCTAAGCAAGCACTTCAATCGAAAAAGTGTTTTAAGAAATGGTTCACATTTTCATCTGCTCGCACCCACAAGCCTTAAAAATTTGGGATTTTGAGCGAGCAGTTTTGCAGAGCGATTGCAGTTCCAAGCACACGAAAAGTATGGTCGAGAAACAAGATTGGCGGGCGTTTGGAATATGAATAAATTTCTCTACGCTTTCGCTTATCGGAGAGAGAGCTTTCACCACCGCTAATAGAAAACAGGGAGAAGAGTTAATAGAATACGGGGCATTTTTTACAAGTGTCCCTGAAATGGCTTTAAAGCCCGTCTGTGAAAGTCGAGTGTTTCAGGCTTACTACATAATGTCAAAACAATACAAGTGCAATCAAACAAATTAGCGGAGAATTGAAAGCGAGATAAATATCTTGATAGCGTTGAATAACGAGAAAGTTCTTTACTATGGATGGTTGTCACTTTAGGCACTGAGTTTGACTTAGTCAAAAAAATGGGCGAAGTACTGATTCATTTTTCGTTTCGTTGGGAGGCATTGTCGGTTCGTCAGGTCGGCAGTGGACAAGACCACTGGGTGTGGTGCGAGTTAAACAGAAACAAATGTTATGGTAACTTACCGTTAACACTTCGATTTGTTTCAAAAATTACTGAATAAAATGCCCCTGCAAGGACATGCACCGTCAGAATGACGAATGTAAGTTTTGCGAAGTTCCTTAACGAACAACGCATTTTGGAATTATGTACGTACTTCTGTCACCTGTCTTTGATTTAATAAGAAAGGTTCCTTCTCAATCAACGCACAACTCTATCGGTGGAATGGCACTTAGTATTGATCAAGGTCATGCCTTCGATATATATCTTTAAGTGCTCTCTGGCTTACTCACGTTTCAGGGGAGGAAATGGTTTATGTGGGTCCTACCCAATCAGACAGCAGTATTTTGGATGCATTTCAGGTAGCTCAATCATGATATAACCAATCAGGATGCCGCACTTGTTCCATGTGATCTCCGGGAGAAAACATGGCGGTTGTTAGGGCACATTGCAGTTTCGAGGGGAAAACGAGATACAACGCGCATCAATAGAAATTTCACCAGGAAATAAAATTCTAAAGACTGGGTAAATTTTTAATACAATCAAATTGACAGAATAGCAAGGCACCTTTTCGAGACCTTGTGATGAGTACGTGCAAGTCTGTCGAAGGATAGCAAGATATTTAGCACTGAAACCGCCCAAACAATACAAATATAATAAGTCACTGAAGAATACTTAGTGTATTTGACCATTTCCATGTAAGTACATGGTATAGTGCTCACAAACACATTCATTTTTCAACTACTTATGCAACATCGCGGTCTCTTTAACAATTGCACAAGTGCTACGGTCGCTTTCGAGAGCGCGAATGGTGAACGCAACCCGAAGAAAGCGGCACAAATTAACAAACCACATTTGAATTATTTAGAAATTTAACTCGACCGTCACCTTGGCATATTTAATATAGTGATCATACCTGGATATTGGTTCTTGTTGTAAACTGTTTGGCGAATGGCATGGGCTCATATTGGATAATATTGTAGTGGGGGTCACTTTGCTCACCTAGTGACCCAACTTAAAAGATGAGATGGCCATGTAAGGAATTATGACAGCAGCGGTCCACTTCTATATGGGGATCACTTGCGAGTCCGGGTCATTTGCGGAACTCTACACTTCATTATGATGACATTTATCCACGATCGGCCAACAAAACTTTTTCCTACTTGCGCAAACATTTTGTGGCATTGCATTTTTTGCGGTCAATCAGCGGTTAGTATCTAACGCACTTCTGTCGTGACTTTTCTTACTCATCTGTTATTCATTTTACAAAGGATCTATCCGTAGAAAGTTCCAGCTAATACAGACCCACAAGACTGGAAAATCGAGAGATATCACGAAAGTTACCGAAATTAAGAAAAGAATTACGATGGCGATCTAGCCATGCAAAAAGTTGCAAAAGTAGCGGTCCAGCCTTGGGGATCACTTACAATTCCAGGATCACTTGCAGTCCCGCGATTATTTGATAAGTGAACACTTCATTATCGTACCATTTATCCACGATCAACAACCAGAACTGATTTACCTTTTAAAAGAAAGCTACTGTTAGAGGAATTTTGGTTCTTGTGCCAGTCAGTCATTTCCGGACTCATGATACGGAAGCCATTACTCAACAGCGCTGTCGTGTACCTACGTGTACAGCACTTACTAGAGAACAAATATCGCGCGAAAAGAGTACACATTACTTGCAATATTGTACGTTTATTTGGTCACTTTGTTATTTTCTACTGTAAAAATGCCTGTTTAACCAGTCGGCTGCGCGCGCTACGCTTCTTTATCCGCTTTGCTTTTCCCCCCTTATGAGAAATGAGCAGAAATACATAGCAGAAAAAAAACAGTTGGATAATACATATCTTATTAGACGTTTTGCTGTGTATTATCGCTGAGTATTTTAAATCGTTGTTTGTATTTTGACTCGTCATACGGGCTCGTCAAAATACGGCACAATTCGTTAAAATACACGTTATTCGCCAGCCGGTAGGTCCGTATTGGGAAAATCTTTGCCGGAGGTCTTGAAAGAGGGCAAAGTTTTTCGCTTTACAGATCGACCTTGGCTGGTGAATAACATTTTTAATATGTTTTTAAACTCAACAAAATTCTTTTCAAAATAACCCGAATGATTTAGGGCTGTAATTACGGCAAGATCTTTCATAAACTAAACAAATATTAAGCGAGTAATTTAAGCTATAGATAGTTAAAATAGAGGTGATGCAAATTAAAGAGAGGCTTTTGCGTAAGGATAAAGGTGATTTAAAAGGCTCCAAACGAACTTTGAAACATTATTTTTACAAGTATCTGCCACAGTCTGACACCTGTCAATTAGAGAGCGCGTAAGATAAAAAAGCGCATGTGCACCTTTAAATCCTAAATCTGGTATTTCCTCTATTAAAACTAAATTCGAATGAGACACTTCAACTAGACACAAGGGGATTTAATGCGGCTTTTTCTCGTTGAATTTCCTTAGTTTCTGCTGTCCAGTTTACGGTACAAATGTCCACATTGAACGGACCTGGAAAGACCCATCGAGAGCGTATTTGTAGTACACTCTCACGACGAACAAATTGTCTGAGAGAATTCAAATATAAGCTGGAAACCACTCCGCTTCGCGTCGTGGTTTCTTACGCTTATCTCGTGTTCTCCCAACCTCCCGCGTGTTTACATCAGGCTATGAAAACACGGAAACCATTTTACATTTCTTCACTGTCAACCGAAGTAATTAAGAGAGTGAAAAGAGAGGATTAATAAGTTATTTATCGGCTTTAAGTAGTAACCGACGTCTTTGCTTAAAAATACTACCCAGTCGGAGAAACGAGATAAATTTGTGAAAAATGGCAGCGAAATGGCAGAAAGCTTCTCAGGTCTCTCTCAAAGAATAAGTTCTGCCTTCTTAGATGTACACATTATGTTTCTTCCGTTTTGTTGTGTCTACTCGCTTCATTTGTCACAATTTTTTTTGGTCTAAGGAAACAGAGAATGATACACGGGCGCGCATCGATATGGAATTTCTCTTCTCGTATTTAACTCGATATCTCACAGGTAAGCACAACAAATGAGTGAGATATTGAGTTGAACACGAGGAGAGAAATTTCGTAACTACAAGCAACCAATCACTATTATTTTGTTTATTATGTACACAATAGGCCTTTGCTGAAAAGAAAAGGAAAGCCGACTTTATTAAGACATGAAACGAATAAGGATTCATAATCCGCCAAAAAAAGTCGTAAAGTGCGAAGGCAACAAGGCTCAAGATGAAAAAATGCGTTGAATCATTACAAAAAATAAATGGGCGTAACTTATAATTCACAAATTCTTAGTTATAGACTTTTCCGTACCTCAGAAGAAATTTGCTCAGATACACGGCCAAAGTCGACCGGTGCCAAATCTTCCGGTTGCTGATTTTAGCTCAGCCACGAGAAATATTCTAACCAAAGCCAAGTAACTTCTCGTATTTTGGTTTTTTCCGCTTCTAGTAAATTTTGAACGTCAGTGTCTGTAAGCTATACAAACTTTCAGTATTGTTAGCGGCCATAATTCGAGAACCTTAGATTGAGGATGTTGAATGATTTGCCATTAATTCACTGATTAACCTGACAGAGTGGCGCGAACACGAGTAAAAAAAATTATCGTTATTTTACACGTTTGCTCTTATGACTTTTATCAGGACTGGAAATCTATGAAAAATACTGCAATTTACATCACAAGAATATAAATCACTTGTTACTGATCAAGAGTTTAATTCGCAACTGAAAATGCATCAATATGTAATATTTACTAAGCTGAATAAAACTAAGCCTCACAATAATAATCGTTTTTTTAGTTAATAGTTTTTGGGACGGTCCGGCTGTATTTACAAATTTAGTGGAAATTAAGGATTTATTCATTAAGGTTGAGATTAGCCACATTGTTTTAACTCCGTTGGTAAAAACTAAGCCTCACAATTATAATAATTTTTTTGGGAAATAGTTTTTGAGACGGTCCGGCTGTATTTACAAATTTAGTGGAAATTAACGATTTATTCATTAAGGTTGACATTGTTCTAACTCCGTTGGTACCATCTCACTAAGAGACAGTTATAAAATTTTAAGCTCCCCTAAATAGCAATTGAAGACATCCATCATGGTTGTTAAAGCGGTCCTTTTGCCTTTAATTTGGTATTTATCTTAAAGACAATTAGCTTTGAGCTTCACACAAAAGTCGTTAAAATCACACTTAGCGATCAACAAACGTTCCCTTCGCTTTTGTCTACTTTTTCGTCTATCGCACTTTGTAATAGGCATTGCACAATACAGTGCTGTCGGACCTTGTTATACCTGTCGCATTTTGTAATATAATTGTCGCCTGGCGCACTTAGTAATAAAACTTATCCCACTTTGTAATAAAAAAGCTGTAGCACCTTGTAATAACAGACCATTACACTTGGTAAGCCAATTTATAAAGTGAAACGGAAGCAGGACTGCGTAAATTCCCAAACGGCTGTTGTGTTAGTCATTCATAAAACTGAAACAACGTGACGTTGGTTCAGTTTTATAAATGGCTTTGATGGGGAACGCTAGACTACAATTGACCAATAAACTCGCGTGGTGCTGTAGGTATTTTCCAGTGTCAAGCGGTACTATTAAGGTAGAAGCAATTCTACTAAAAATTATTTCCTTACCGATATCCTCCTGGTTCAGTTTTCTTAATAGCCGCAGCATTTTTGGCATCAACATCACTGCATAGAATGCACCAGCAATTACCAACCCTATCAAAAGGATTCTTCTGAGTTTTACGATAGCCCTTATTGGAAAACTCATCACTTAACTCGATATTCTTGCAACCTCTCTTTGTTTCGATGGAAGGAGTCTTCCCAGTTGATATTAACGCACACTTAAGCTGACGCCGCGGGAGGGAAGATTCGTAAATGGTAATTGTGAGTTCGTGTGTTTCGTGTTAATCAGCAACACACACCGGTGATCAGAACCTTTGATCAGCAAAGTGCGATACATCACCGGAACCAAACCACTCAGAGGGGATCTGAGCATATAAATGGCGAATGAACCAATCAGATGGCGGGACCGCTATACGTCCAAGACAAGGGGAGAGATATTTCCCACGATCACGTGAGGAACCGTTAGCCTTAGAAACTTAAGAGTAAACCTCGATGGTTGATCCAAACTCCTCATTTAATCCATAAATTATTTCACATTGGCACAAAAGGACATTCAAAGCTCTTTTCAACATGAATCCGTTGCTCATCAAGTAACTTCAACAATAGAGAATTTGATTCCATTCGACTACTTCAAAATGAACTCTAGCGTAGCCAAAAAAAAACTGGCCCCAAGGTGATTCCTCAGAAAAAAAAATTTGTTAAAGCTCTTTTAAAATGTTTCCTACCAACGTTTGTTTCGGAAAATACAATTTAAAAGATAGGTCACCGTGCGTATTTAAAAGATATGATGTCGAACTTACTTCATTTAAGCTTGTACTGACACTAATCACGCGCGTCATTTCATCGGTTCACTGCACAATTTGAGGTAGCTGAAAACAAAGGTTTTTAAAGTCACACTTGAAAAAACTTGATAGATAGGAAGTGTTGAGCGAATGGAACAATTTTATGTATAATTTGAGGAAAAATCGCGCAGTTTTTCACGACATTGACTCGAAACGTTTTTCGAGTCGTTGCTTTCAAGGTTATAATTTGCATCTTCAAGTAACGGGCTTAGTGCACGCTTTTAGCCATGTCTTTTTTCCCCTTTGATGAATTTTTTTAATTTCTCCAATTTAAAGGGTATAATTTGAACACCAAACTTATGAAAAAGACCAAAGAAAAAAGGAAAAAAAAACCATCATGTTAAAGATCATATCACAAGGAGCCGCCACAAACAAACTGACTAAGGCGCGGGAAAACGCAAGACTCGTTTGGTTTCAGTTTTGCATCTGATTGGTTAAGGGAGGGGCACGAGTTTTTTGTAGACCAATGAAAGAAATTGTTTTAATTTACTGTAGAGATTAGATGTTAAAAATAGTTTCTTCTATCTGCGACACGATTCTTTGTCTCAAAGCTGAGTTAACTCGATCGGTGGAATCGCTCTTGGTGTTGATCAAGGTCATGTCTTCGATATATCTTTACGTGCCCTTTGGCCACTCACCTTTCAGGAGAAGAAATGTTTTATGCGGACCCTTCCCAATCAGAGAGCAGTATTTTGGAGGCATTCAAGGTAGCTCAACCATGATATAATCAATCAGGAAGTCGCTCTTGTTCCATGTGATCGCCGGGAGAAAACATGGCGGTTGTTAGAGCATATTGCAGTGTCGAGGGGAATACGAGATAAACACGTATCAATAGAAATTTTACTAGGAAATAAAATTCTGAGCGTTCTAAAGACTGAGTAAATTTTCAATACAATCAAATTGACAGAATGGTACCTTTTCGAAACCTTGTGATGCGTACGTGCAAGTCTGACGAAGGATAGAGAGATATTTGGCACTGTAACCGCCCAAACAACACAAATATATTAAGTCACTGAAGAATACTTAGTGTATTTGACCATTTCCATGTAAGTACATGGTATAGTGCTCACAAACACATTCATAATTCAACTACTTATGCTACATCGCGGCCTCTTTAACAATTGCACAAGTGCTACGGTCGCTTTCGAGAGCGCTAATGGTGAACACAACGCGAAGAAAGTCGCACAAATTAACGAGCCACATGAAATTTTTTTTTAAAATTTAACTCGACCCACCCTACACCTACACTAGTATCGCTGAGTATTTTAAATCGTTGTTTGTATTTTGACTCATCATACAGGCTCGTCAAAATACCGCACAACTCGTTACAATACACATGTTATTCTCCAGCCGGGAGGTCCGTATTGGGAAAAACTGTGCCCGAGGTCTTAAAAGAGGGCACAGTTTTTCCCTTTACGGACCGACCTAGGCTGGTGAATAACATTTTTATTTTTTTTAAAACTCAACGAAATTCTTTACAAAAGAACCCGAATGATTTAGGGCTATAGTTACGGCAAGACCTTCCATAAACTGAACAAATTTTAAGCGAGTGAATGGTAGTTAAAATAGAGGTAACTAGGGAGGGGCTTCACCGAAACATTTCCATTTGTGTAATAATAAAGGTGGTTTAAAAGGCTTCCAAACGAACTTTAAAACATTATTTTTATAAGTATCTGTGACAATCTGACAACGACACTTTTGCTCATACAAATTCATTTCGAGACCAATATTTTTCTGTCAACCGAAGTGATTGGGGAGAGAGAAAAGAAAGGATTAATAAGTCATTTGTCTGCTTAAGGTAGTGACCGACGTCCGAGTTGCTTAAAAATACTGCCCAAAACGAGATAAATCTTTGAAAAATGGCAGCGAAGGTAAGAATGTACTCGGCGACTCATGAAAGCGTTACCGTGCTCGTGGGCAGAGATAGGAAATTACGGACCGCGCTAAGAACCAATCAGATTGCAGGATTCGTTAACGTGCCCTCCTAGCAAAAAATAATCAGCGATACTACACACCAAAACGTTTAATAAGATATATTTACTCGTACGTTTGACAAACACCCGCGGCAGGTATAGGCAAAGATAATGAAAGAAATAGCTTATGGCTCACAAACAGCGTAAGCGTAGTCATGCAGATAGATACTGTTTGAACATTTGTGACATTTTCACAGAAAGCTTCTTAACTCTCTCTCAAGGAATAAGTTCTGCCTTCTTGGATGTACACATCATGTTTCTTCCGTTTTGTTGTGTCTATTTGCTTCATTTGTCACAATTTTTTTTGGTTTAAGGAAACAGAGAATAATACACGGGCGCCCATCGATATGGAATTTCTCTTCTCGTATTTAACTCGATATTTCACGGGTGAGCACAGCAAACGAGTATCGAGTTGAACACGAGAAGAGAAATTTCATAACTACATGCAACCAAGGATTATTTTGTTTATTAGGAACACAACAGACCTTTGCTGAAAAGAAAAGCCAAATTTATTCAGACATGAAAAGAATAAGGTTTCACAATCCGCCAAAAAAAGTCGTAAAGTGCGAAGGCAACAAGGCTCAAGATGAAAAAATGCATTAAAAAATGGGCGTAACTTATAATTCACAAAATTCTTAGTTATCGACTTTTCCCGTACCTTAGAAGAAATATGTGCAGTTACACGGCCAAAATCGACCGGTAACAAAATCTTTCGGTTGCTGATTTTAGCTCAGCCACGACAAATATTCTCACCAAAGCCAAATAACTTTCAGTTTTTTCTTCGTATTTTAGATTTTTTCCGCTTCTAGGAAATTTTGAATATCAGTGTCTGTAGCGATACAAACTTTTCATTATTGTTAGCAGCCATAATTCGAGATAAATTTTGACAAACGACCTTGGACTGAGGATGTTGAACGATTTGTCATTAATTCACTGATTAACCTGACAGAGTGGCGTGAACACACGTAAAAAAATATCGTAATTTTACACGTTTGCTCTTGTGACTTTTATCAGGGCTAGAAATCCATGAAAAACACCGCAGTTTACATCACAAGAATATATATCACTTGTTACTTATCAAGAGTTTAATTACCTAGGAATTCGCAACTGAAAATACGTCAACATGTATTGTCTACTAACAGCTAAATTTTGATTGAAGCTAAGCCTAATAATAAAATAGTTCTTGAGACGGTCCGGCTGTATTTAAAAATTGGAATATAAGGATTTACTTATCTAAGCTTGAGATTAGCCACATTGTTCTCATTCCGTCGTTACCATCTCATTAAGAGACAATTTTCAAATTTTGTGCTCCACCATATAACAATTGAAGACCCTCATCGCTGGTTAATAAAACGGTCCTTTTCCCTTAATTTAGTATTTCTCTAAGAGACAATTACATTTGAGCTTCCCACAATGGTCGTTGAAAACACACTTAGCGATCAACAAACGTTTAGTGCTACTTGTCTATTTTTTCTATCGTAATTTGTAATAATCGTCGCACAATAAAATACTGTCGCACTTTGTTATACCTGTCGCATTTTGTAATAAAATTGTCACACTTTTTAATACCTGGCGCACTTAGTAATAACACTTGTCCCACTTTGTAATGAAAACGCTGTCGCACCTTGTAATAACAGACCATATGCATCACACTTGGTAAGCCATTTTAAAGAGCGAATGAGGAGCAAAACTGCGTAAATTCCCCGATTGTTGTGTTACGTTGTTTTAAGTTTTATGAATGACTTTAATTTGATAAGGAACGTTACACTGCAATTGACCAATAAACTACCGTAATGCTATAGGTGTTTTCCAGTATCAAGCGGTACTATTAAGGTAGAAGCAATTCTGTTGAAAACTATTTCCTTACCGATATCCTCCTGGTTCGATTTTCTCAACAGCCGCAGCATTTTTGGCATCAACATCACTGCATAGAATGCACCAGCAATTACCAACCCTATCGAAAGGAGTCTTCTGAGTTTTACGATAGCCCTTATTGGGAAACTCATCACGTAACTCGATATTCTTGCAACCTCTCTTTGTTTCGATGGAAGGAGTCTTCCCAGTTGATATTAACGCACACTTAAGCTGACGGAGGGAAGATTCGTAAATGGTAATCGCGAGTTCGAGTGTTTCGTGTCAATCAACAACACGCGCAGGTAATCAGAACCTTTGATCAGCAAAGTGCGATACTTCATCGGGCCCAAACCACTCAGAGTGGATTTGGGCGTATAAATGTCGAATGAACCAATCCGAAGGCAGGACCGCTATACGTCCAAGACAGGGGGGGAGATATTTTCGACGATCACATGAGGAACCGTTAGCCTTAGTCATTTAAGAGTAAACCTCGATGGTTGATCTAAACTCCCCATTTAATCCATAAATTATTTCACATTGGCACAAAAAGGGCATTCAAAGCTCTTTTCAACATGAATCCGTTGCTCATCAAGTAGCTTCAACAATAGAGAATTTGATTCCATTCAACTACTTCAAAACTTACTCTACCGTCGCAAAAAAAACCTCAAACCGCCTCAAACCGCCTCAAGGTGATTCCTCAGAAAAAAAAATTTGTTTAAGCTCTTCTTAAATGTTTTAACCGACCTTCTTAAATGTTTCAGACCAACGTTTGTTTCGAAAAATACAATGTAAAGGATAGGTCACCGTGCATATTTAAAAGATACTGGCGCTAATCACGCGCGTCACTTCATCGGTTGACGGTGCCATTTGAGGTAGCTGGAAACAAAGGTTTTTAAAGACACACTTAAAAAAAAACTTGACAGGTAGAAAGTCTCGAGCGAATGGAACAATTTGATGTATAATTTGAGGAAAAATCACGCAGTTTTTAACGACATCGACTCGAAACGTTCTTCGAGTCGTTGCTTTCAAGGTCATAATTTGCATCCTCAAGTAACGGGCTTAGTGCACGCGTTTAGCTGTCTTTTTTCCCCTTCGATGAATTTTTTTTAATTTCTCCAATTTAAAGGGTATAATTTGAACACCAAAACTATAAAAAGACCAAAGAAAAAAGGAAAAAAACCATCATGTTAAAGACCATATCAGAAGGAGCCGCCACAAACAAACTGACTAAGGCGCGAGAAAACGCCATTGACCAAGACTCATTTGGTTTCAGACATGGTTTGATGCTACTCTGGTTTACAGATTTAATGAATGTAACCGAAGAAGTTACAATTCATAGACCCAACGTTTCGACACTCCTGTCTGGTGCCTTCATCAGGGGTGATCTAATCGCTGCAACAAGAGATCCTTTTATATGATTACTCTCAACTCAACGACGACCGTAAGCACTTGGTAAGAGCAGAAGTAAGCAGCATACTCAGGCGTGCTAAACCTCCTCCCAAAAACATTCAAAAGGATGTTTTCAATGCGCTTATAGCTCTTAAAAAAGATCCGGACATGCTCGTGTTATCTGCTGACAAGGGTAATTGTGTTGTGGTTATGGACAAACAGCAATATCACGACAAAGCTTTGTCTCTGCTTAATGACAAGAGTACGTTTGCAGTCTTAAACTCTGATCCTACCAGTAAAACTCAAAGAATGTTAAACGAAATGTTGTTTGATTTGAAAAAAAGCTGGTAAGATTAATGACTCTACGTACAAAGTGACGGCTTAGGTCCATGTTTTTATGGCTAACCTAAAATTCTTAAACCGGGAATTCCTTTGAGATCCCTTGTCTCTTATGTTAATTCTCCGACTTATGCAATTTCTGGTTACCTTGCGAGAATTTTGTTGGGAATACTGATTACCCTGTCAAAAATTCCTGCGAATTTGCGGATTTCATAAGAGATAAGACTCTTAACGCTTGTAATTAATAAGCATCTTTCGACGTTGTTTCGCTCTTCACTAAAATCTCAGTTGATCTTGCCGTTTAGGTTGCGGAGGAGAGACTCAGAGAAGATGCTACCCAAGGACAAAGAACTTCTTTGCCTGTGGAGGATATTATTCATCTGTTGTCTTTTTGCCTCAAAACTACGCAATCTGCATATAACGGCAAGTACTATCAACAAGTTCTCGGTACAGCTATGAGTTCGCCCGTCTCTGCTGTCATTGCCGGGAAGACGTGGAACAAAGGGCCTTAGCCACTTCACCGGTTAAACCCTTTTTCTGGAAACGATATGTCGATGATGCTATTCCTGCGGCATCCGGAAATGAAGCGGAGCGCCTCCTGTCGCATTTGAATTCAGTAGAGCCGTCGATCCAATTTACCCTTGAGCGTGAAAAGGATAGACATTTGCCCTTTCTTGATTTAAACGTGTCCAGAGGTGTTCAGGGTAATTTAGAGACAAGTGTCTACCGTAAACCTACCCACGCCGACAAATACCTCGCTTTCGATTCTCACCACCCTATTTGCCATAAAAATTCTGTAGCCAAAACTTTACTCAGGAGGGCTGACTGTCTACCATCTTAACTCGATTCGAAGGCTGAGGAGAGGAAATATGTTTCTAACGTCCTAAAGGCAAATGGCTATACAAAAACCTTTCTCCGTAACTGCCAAAAACCAGTTACAACTAGTAACACTCTTGATAAAAGGGAACCAGCGACTGGTTTTGCTGTTATTCCTTACATGCAGGGTGTTACGGAACCCATCACGAGGATCCTGTCACGAAAGAACAACGAACCGACGCCATTTATTCTATTCCTTCCAATGACTGTGACAACGAATACAACGGACAGACCAAACGTCAGCTTGGTACACGTTTGAAAGAGCATCAAAAAGCGGTTTTATTTTGCAAAAAGGTAAATTCAGCTTCATCGGAGCACATATGCCTAACTAACCATACAATTGGGTGCGATAATTCTAAGATTATCACCACTAATCGGCGTTACCACCAGCGCCTTTGTTTGGAGGTTTGGCATATTAACTCCGCCCACGCTCCTTTTAATCGTGACGATGGCGGCTTGCTTCCTGACACCTATTTACACCTCGTCAGGAAAAAGGCAGCTAATTAGTGATCATATAAAAGGACCTCTTGTTGTAGCGTTTAGATCACCCCAGATGAAGGCACCAGACAGGAGTGTCGAAACGTTGGGTCTATGAATTGTAACTTCTTCGGTTACATTCATTAAATCTGTAAACCAGAGAAGCATCAAACCATGTCTGATTGTCCATCTGGTTGCCGTGTGAACTTTAATCTATTTCATTTGGTTTCAGTTTTGCATCTGATTGGTTGAGAGAGTGGCGCGAGTTTTTTTAGACCAATCATAGAAATTGCTCTAATTTACTGAAGAGATTAGATGCTAAAAATAGTTTCTTCTATCTGCGACGTGATTCTTTGTCCCAAAGCTGAGTGAACTTAGCGGTTAGAATCAAATTTCTATCAAGTTTGCAGACTCAAATGTTGGTTAAAATCTTAGCGCCTGGCAATGCCAACAAAAATTGTTTAAAATGGCGTATTTCTGTCACAGCTATAAGCCATTTTAAACAGCAATCCTTTTTCTATGCTATGACTGAAGCAATTCAGTGATTCACTATTTCTTGATAACTGGGCTTTTTGAATCCAAAAATGTCATAGTCTTTTGCGTAGATATTCTGCAGTCGTGTGAATTCTTCTTGTGATATTCCTGAATAGAAAGTCTTCATCTTCGTTTGTGATCCTTGTCCCTCGGGTGCAGCTTCGATGTTTGGGAATGTAACCTCTCCATCAGCTCCCATCAACATAAGAGCGAGGTGAGCATCTGCTTTGATGTTATCATAAAAGCCAACAAAGTCATAATTTATATCACACGGCGCGCATAAATTATGCTGAAGATCCCAGTGTTCATCATGAGAGCTAACAGGCGTAGTATTTGTGTAAGTTACGAATTCCTTAAATGTGGGATAATGTGGAGTTAACCCCGTAGAGTTCTGCCGCACGATTCTGATGATTTCTTGGCCGATTTTGTAATAATATCCCTTCCTAGGGGGATCAACGGGTGCAAATTTGCTCCGGTAGGCCGACAGAAATCGCTCCATAGGTTCGCGAACAAATGCAATCTTTTTGTATGTTTTTAACATGTGATTTACCACTGTAGCATTTGAATAATGTTTCAAAAAGCGTAACCTTCCTGATTCGTGCGAAGCATTGTGGGAGATATCTTTCGACGAGTTGAAATGTCCATCTAAAACGTGAAAAATTCGTTTCCAGTTGCTACATGCTACTTTAGGAACGAAACAGAAGAGTGTTTTGTAACGCTCGGACACGATAAGGTGATGTTTGACGACATGTTGGATTGGTTTTCCTCTACCTTGCGTGGTACAAGCAGAATAATTCCAAGGCCGATATCTTTCCTCTAGAAGTCTGATCTAAAAAAAAGGGACATTAAAAATGATTTAAGGTGATGAAGATTGTCAACAAGGCTGGAACAGTTAAGGCGCGAAATCGCTGAAAAAGGGCTTCGTCACGAATCGATTCGTGAGTACTGCTTACAAAACAAGTCTTAGTGTCCCATTTTGTTTCTGCGATCACCGCATTTGTGCGACTTTTTTCGGGGAACAAAACTGAAAACAGTGGCAGATTTGGACCATTTTGATCTTTAGTTTATTAATTTTATACATTCAAAAAGATGGCCATGTTTTTGACTCCAAGTGAATACTATAGGGAGAGAGGGAAGGAACCAACTGTTTGAACTGTTTGTTAACAATTCTCAAATTCGACACCCACGCTATGTGAGTAGCGCGTGATATACAGTTGCAGAATCATTATTACTTACATATAATGTAAATCCAAACATTTAGGCTAATTTTTTTAGCATATTCAAAATGTAGTTAAGGACGGGTGGTAGATAAAACCCTAATTTCTCCTAAGCCGGATTTTAAACCTCGGTCTTCAACGAAGTTGCGGTTGGATGCTTCACCAACCAGCAAAAGGAAAGTCAGTCGTTGCCGATCTGAGCGATGTAACGCAGATTTATGTGTGACTTGCGTTCTGTGTACTACTGGGATAGACTCTCTGGGTGGAACAAATTTTTAATTATGTTTTCGACAAAACTGCTCTACAAGGCATGAGCCCAATGTGAAAAGAATACGTCGTACAGAAAATACACTTTCTCTTCTCTCAAGGAATGACCCTTGTCTCTAATCTCAAGCCATTAATCCGTCAATGATAAGTTTCGTTTACTTTTTCTTCTGTCTATTTTATCTCGCGCATGTGTTAATATGATTGCAGGATTTCAGCGAAGTTCATTTCAGTTTTATTTCAGTAAGGAGAAACATTTTTTTTCCAGAAAGTCTTTTTATTTCGAGCAAAGGGTTTTTGAGTTGTTGTAAAACAACAGTAAAAACAGGTTTATAGAGTCACTTTGGATTGAAAATGAGCGCAAAACCGAATGGTTGAAAATTGGCCGCATCCGATTTGTGTGAAAATGCTGAGAGACACTAATCCGAAAGTTAGCACTCCTTTAGGATTATATTGTATCAAGTTCAATTGAGAACTTACTTCAAATTCATTATCAATTATTTTATCAAGTAATAATATTCCGCGGGAGAGTGTATTGAATTCCAAAACCAAAGTGCAACTTTTAGAGGTAAGGTTTGAAAATGGATGTGGATTTTATAGACCAGCAGGTCTGCTGCAGGTGTGAAAATGACATGTTTTGGCCCCCATAGCAAGAATTCTGACGAGTAGAAAATTTACTCTCACTCGCTGAATTTTCAATTGTGTACTTACCAGTGCCTCTCTCTTCATCTGTTCAGTATTCTGGGAATCTGTTAAAAGTCAACTGAAATATATTAGAAATCTGGTTGTTGATAAAGGGAGTTTGCTAGATGCAACTCTTCCACTTTCACCTTAAAAAATATGGAATTACTTAGCGGTGACGTTGATCTGACGTACGAGGTCATTATTTGGCGATCATACCGCTGACAAGGAGCCAAAATGACCCTGGGCTCGAGATTGAGTCGAACTTAATTGGAAAAGTGAACATGACTCTATTGCGGTGAGCGGTTATTGCTTACCAAAATGGCGGGAAAAAAATGCGGGAAAGACGACTTGTGGAATAAAGAGCTTCTTTGTCTTGCAAGTGCAATGAAGGAGGGTAGAGGAAGCGAGGAAGCCGACTTAAAATGCAGTTAGCATTAAATAGCCTCAATGCCAGGAGGAAACGAGTTTTGAATTTGGCTTGCCTTCTATTATTTCTCATTTCCCAAAGGAACATTACCGTTCCTTGTCCAGTTCGTGCTTGTCGTCGGCTAAAAAGAAATACTGGCTGGTGGAAAAATGTTTGCAACACCTCTTCAGAGGCAAAGTTCAAGAAAATCTTCGGAGTATCCTAAGAAACATTTAATTTCATCCTGAACGGCATTGAATCTTTCCTTATTCGGCAAACTTTGAACCGATATCGCCAGCACTGAGGCTTGCCATTTTTCTGTATAAACCAGGCAAATGAGATTATATCTGTACATTGCAACAATGTCAGGACTAGGAATCTCCACTGTCTCCTCGATCTACCAGGAAGTCTGTCAAATCCTGGTGGAACATTTATGGAATGAGACTGTGTCAAGTCACATGCCTCAAACTGAAGAAGGGTACAACATGGAAAAAATTTTGGCAATTTCCTTGCTGTTGGACAGCAATAGATGGCTGCCATATTCCTATGAAATACCCGCCTGGAGGACTTCGGGCATGCAAAGAGTACTAATGGTAATGGTAGGTTCAAATTTTTTTACGCTCTTCCCGTAATTTGTTGCAAAACAACTTGTGTGCGCATGACAATTATACGAAATGTGAAGAACTCTGAGTAAAAATTAATTTTTTGCATGTATTTGTAATGTATGCATTAGATTCGGCAAATGAAACAGTTCGACGTATGAAATAAAGTTGATCTTTTGCCGATCTATTCGACAACCCCTTTCGAATAGAACGGCAGGTCGACCCAAATACAAATCTGTCGGACCTAGTTGATTCAAACGTCGAACTTTACATGTGCCGAATCTGTAGTACAGTAGATGGCGACGCTAACCCGATTTCTCAAATTGGGCTCGAACACGCCATCTGCTTTTTATTTTCCATACAATGGAAAATCACATAGAAATTTTACTATAACAGCAATCAGACAGAAATTCTGAGAAAAACAGGATGTCTTCATTTCTCAATAACTGACTAACTGCCTACGCATTGAGATAAAAATATCTCATTTAATAGCATAAAATTAATTGTAACGAAGAAATTCGTGATGAATTGAAGGAAGTTAGGTGTCCATTTTGTGATGAACAAACTAAAGAACGAGTAGTAAAAATTGAGCGATGTTGCGTGGATATGAAAATTCAAAAGAAAAACAAGGAATTTGTTTGAGTGGAATGTGGTCAAATTGATGGGCATGAACCTGAAACAGAATTTATTGATTTTCATGAGGATTTGTATAAATTTACAAGAAAGTCTGTTTATTGTAGAAAATATTATGTTATGAAAGTGATTTTCGGTGTACCCAAAAAATTTCAGTAGACAACAAAAAAACAGAAAGTATTGGAATATTTGAGCTGATTGGCACAATCATTCCTAAGATGAATAAAAATAGAAAGAGAACAATAAATATAATTTTTTATTATGAAAAAGGTCTTTGAAATGATGAATATATAGTTTGAAAGTTTTAAATAACTTAATGAAAAAATCCTTGCTTTTTACGATGAATACTGGTCTAAATAAATAATTACACTATTTTAATCAAGTTTGTTTAAATTTATGGGACTATCATTTAGGCCATCAAATACTGTTGTAACTACGTCTGTTGAAAGTGATATGCTCGTATTTTCTTCTTTTATATATAACATAATTGCAAAATTGAAACATTTTTAATGATTGTATTAACAAGCTTTTTTTAATATGTCCATCAACAATCTGAGAAAACTACCTAATGTGCTTTTATAGCCATCAAAAACAGTCCACATATACATGCCAATATTTTTTATTTTCAATCTAGTCACATCTGATGATTCACAAGTAAAATGATTATCATCTGATTGTCACTAAACCGTGTTATTATGTGCCCTCTTATTTCTGTAAAATATATTTTTTTTGTTGCGTCACTAAATTGTTTTTTTTGTGATTGGATTTTTGTCATTCGTAGCTTCCTTGAATACTAGTTCTTTTGTCTTCCGGCAACTTTTTCTTCAAATTTAACAGTTAATTGAATACACTTCATCCATAATATTTGTTGAAATATCATTATGACAACTCTTAAGACTATAAAGGACTACAAAAACCGACAGGTCTTCTTCATAAACAACATCAGTTTTGTTTCTCATATCAATTTTTAAACATGAGAGGGATGATTCAGAATTTTCTATCAAAACATATGCAATGGCTCTTACATGATTATCAAATCTATTTGTCGAATATCTTTCAATGGTACCATTTTTACTTGAAAATTGTCAGAAACTGTTTTTTTAAGTCATTGATATTTTTATTCACTCTTAATTCCCCTACCAGCATTTTCTCCAAAATCCTTATCAAAATAATCATTTTATTGCGATTCTTAGTTCGGAATTTTTGCAACAGGATTGAATAGAAGACGATTCTTCTGATAAGAATGCATCACATCCGAAAATCGTGAGAAGAATCTCTATTTCAGAGAATAGGGAATTATTTTCTCAAGAACGACAATGAAGTGCGCATACTCAAGTGTCGAGCTTTAGTGCAGCGTACCGCCGGCACACGGATAGGCATTAAACGAGAGTTTCACGTGGGCTGGTAGATGTGAAGCTGCGCAAGCAAATAATTTGAAACCCACGTTTTGAGCGGGAAATCAAACTGGTGAGGTTGTAGTTGAACAGTAATTCTCAGTATTTTGCAATTTCTAATCAACCCGCAAAGCAACAATACCAGCAGCGCTAAAACTTTGTCATCCAGAGGAAATTGTTATAATTTAAGTTCGTGGAGCAAGGGTTTTCAAGTGAAAATAGACTGGAATGAAAGAGACGGAGCGACCAAAGAAGGCAAGAAGTAAAAGGCATAAAGCGAGTCGAGAAAAACGCGAAAGAATATAGAAAAGACGCTAAAATAGACAGAATACAGCGAGAGAAACGCGAGAAAGAACAGGCGTAGATAAAAAGGCAAATATCTGGTGAATAGCAACGTGAGAAGGAAATACAAAGAGCTCCAAAAAACAAAGTGAAAATATCGAGGATATCAACAAAAAGGAGCGAACTACAAAGCATCCGAGAAAGAAGAGGAGGTAAGTCGTGTCTTAACTGGGTTTTCCCTCACTTGTAGCTAAGCCACCCCCTTTTTTTTCTTTTTACGTTTAGCGTCGAATGCGTTTCCTGATATTGGGTCGGTCGGTCGGATTGAAAAAAAGAAAACCTAAAAA